AACACAAAGCTCCTCAGAGGCAAGCTTAGTAGTTGACATGTGAAACACTAATCAAGAGTAAATTGTCGTATTCCTATTGCTCTTCTAACTGGGAAAATTGAAGTGTTACTTGAGCATTCTTGTCTTCTGTACAGATACACGACTTGGGGGAATAGAGCCCACAGAAGAACATCTTAAGAACTGGTCTGCACCTTCAGAGAAAGCTAAAGCCCCTGATTGTACCACCCAATAAAGGTGCCTCTGCAGTGACTGCAGCCAGAATATGCGTATATGGAAGATAACAGCTTCACGTCAGAAGCCATCAGCCTCTCCTGCAGATTGTGAGAAGAGCTCTGGTGGCATGCAAATCCCTTACTCTCTTGGACTTGCTAAGTCCCCCAGTTGGAAAAGAACAAAAAATGGAAAAAGCAGTCAGCCTGCTGATGTGATGGTGGGGTTTTTTTCGGATGACAAAGAAAGAGAACCCAATGTATTGAAGAAAAAAGAATGGAAAGAGGAATGGATCACAAACTAATCTACTGTGAAATTTCTCAGTCTTAAACTTTTCATTCTGTCATCCTGAAAACAGCCATTTTCTGTGTGGTTGATATTTGTACCTTTGAAGAACTATACTTTTTTGTTTCTCAGCATATGGTTTTTATACTATGCTTTCTCTATGTCCACAACAACTGTATTTTCACCACAGTTTTAACCTCTCTATCTGGACGTTGCAACTGAGGTTACTAATTTTCTGTTTATATAATAGAGCATGTAATCAAGGGTTCTTATTATCCACAACTCGGCCAGTTATGGTACCAAGAGAAACTTTTGTGTCATCTTTCAATATACTTCCAGTTGCTGTCTGAAGACCTGCTTTTTTGTACGTTTTGTATAAGAATGTTTGTTTTGACAATAAAGTTTAATGTGTTAAGTATTTAAGATATTTTTGCTGGTCACTTGTGAGGAGATTGATTACAATATTCAGTTTCTAAAGACTATTTTTTATAGTAATCTCATCACTTTCATCATTATTATGCTTCTTGCCTATGTCCTCAACTTTCTGCAATAATTTGTGCAGAAGTTTGCTGTTGCCCAAGTCTGTAACTGGTGTTTTGTTTAATTCTTTCTAACTGAGTCTCTCTGTTAGGAAATATTTGAAGTCTAAAAGATAGATGGTCCTCCCTTTCCTCCCCACATGCCCTCCACTGCCAACTAAATAGGAACCTGGAACTCAATATCCGAGATCAGCTCTGTTTAAGAATAAACTCATCATTAGGAGATGAGAAAGTCATACCTAAGAAAGATACCTGCATTAAACCCATCATCCTTATTTTATAGGAATAAAGCTCTCAGTGATGCTTTGTCTCTGAAATACTTCGTTTGGAGTTATCCAAACCAATAAGCAAATGGTAACAGTGACATGTTCCTCAATGCTCAGCAGTTACTGGAAGGATCGCACAAGGATTATTTACCTGGCTGGAGGTGCTTCAGAGGTCTTGTATTAAAAGAACCAACTACCTATTTACCTTGAATAGCTGAAAACTGCCAACTACTGTAACTTCTAAGAAAGTGCAAGCATTTCTCTAAGTTTCGGACCTGGAATGTATTTTGGGAAGCTTTTGAGTTCAGCACTGCAGTGTCTAGCACAGCCATAGATATGTAGGGACAATTTATTTCTTGACATTGGTAAGTGCAAAGCACTGGTGTTTGTGTGGTAGGAGGTTTGTTTGGGTTTTGAGGTGGGTTTTTTTGGTTTTGGGGGGTTTGTGGGTTTTTGGGAGGGGAGGTGGTTTGGTTTTTTGTTGGGTGGTTTGTGTTTTCAATTTCACACTGTGACTGAAAGATATTTCCTTTAGGTACCAGTTTTTTTCATTCCCTTCGTTTTAGCATTGTGATAAATGAAATAAGCTGGCTTTTTTTTTTTCTTCCATGAGGGGGAACAAGATGTATGTGTAGGTCTACCTCTTTTATATGCAATTTCAAGGGTTTGGTTTTTTGTTAATTATTACTTGCTTGGAACGCTTTTAGATCTGGAGATTTTTTTTTTAGATCTGGAGAGGTCACTGAGCTGAAAAACAGAAACTTAGTGCAACAGGCTTGTGTCTGAATTCAGTAGGCAAAAAGTAAATGAGAGAAGAGAAAATGCTTTTAGAAAACCTAGTCGTTAAAGATTTTGCTTACTGTGGAGATGACTTAAAAAGCCTTAGAAAGCTATCATAGTTTAGCAGAAAATAAGATAAACTTAGTATTACTGATATTTCCCAGTTTACCCACAGAAGTGACTTTTCTGAGGAGAGTGTAGCTAACAGAAGTTCAGGCAGAACTCCAAATTCTTTTTAAGAAAGCTGTTAGGATAGCTTTAGGTCTGGTGAGAGCTTGTAATTAGATTTAATTTGTCCTAGAATTTCCCAGTCTTATAATATCATCTCCGCCTTAAGAAATATATGTAAAATCACTAAATACAAAAGAAAAAATGGTAAATCACCAGTTTAACAACAGCAAAAAAAAACCAAACCACCAAAAAGAACAAAATTCATTAAGCAAGCGTTTTGTCCTAGTTTGGAATTTGATAGCTTATATTTCTAAAGAGAGATTGCTTGGGAAAAACATGTTTGTGATCTTTTGGGGGGGGTTCCTGTTGATTTCTTGAATTCCTTACAGAGACTGAACAGCTAATGCTAGGGATCCCTTTTTGTCCTTTCCAGTCCAGGAGAAAAATCACGCTTTTAAAATCTTGAGTTTCACTAGATGGCAGCATCTCTGCTTCAACAGGAAATTACGTTCATTTCGAGAGACTGACCAGTTAGACTACAAATCCCATCAAGCGCAAGAAAAAGAGTCTAAAACTTCCTTTTGTACAAAGGTCAGTAACTCTAAGGAGCTGTTTGAGATCTCCAGGTGAGAGACTAATTTTAAACGCGTCACGGAATCGATGTGGGAAATGTTCATTAAAACTTACTGTTAGATTGAAAAATGTGCTTATGTACATTTTGCTTCTAAAACTTTAAGATGATTTGGGTAAGTACTTGAACTAATCAGTTTGGGGGTTTTTACACTGAAAAGATGTATATGATGACAACAAAGAATATGAAGGAGCTTCCTCTGCCTTGAGGGAGCACTTTGAGCTGATTGTTGAGATGCTTAGGCATTGCTACAAGCATTTCCTCCAATTTTGTGTTTGAGGAGCTGCATTTTGGAAAGCTTAGTACAGACAGTGCAACCTAGTTGTGTGTGTAATCTCATTTTTCTCAGTTAACTTAGTATTTTTCACCTGTCAATGCAAAAAGGTTATGCTAAGACAGGCCAAATCTCATAAACTTTATATAGTCTACTATCAGAGGCAACCAAAGGCATATCTTTTTTTACCAGCTAACCTAAAAAGTTACTTTCAAGGTATCATGCTTTCCCCTAATTAGAAAGGTGCTTCTCAGTTACCGTTTGCTTTTTTTCTTTTTTGTGTGTGTGCATGTGTGTCCTAGTTGTGGGGGGAAAATCTACACTGAAGCATTTAATTGTGTTGAAACATGGTCTGTAACTCAGTGTGACTTCAAATCAAAAGCGGTAATGTTTTTTATATTAGAATGGAAAGATTTTTTTCAGTTAAATTGCTTTAGAAAAAGTCTGGTTTCTTGAATCTCTAACCTTCAGGGGTTAACACTAGTTTTGCTGCAACTTCTGCCAGGAAAAGCTGCTGAGAAAACAGAATTTCTGGTCAAAATCAGAGAAGTGAATACTCTGGTTTAAGACATAGGACACTAAATTTGACCGAAATCCAAATCACAGCATGGATTTGATCATCTCTAGATGATGACATTGGATGCCACCCTATGGGAGACAGGGCATCTTAAAATCTTAGGGAGGTACTTAGGATGTTGGATTCATGGATATGTTTAGACTTCAGGTTCCTAGGACACCATTCTACACTTATAGCTACATAAACAAATTTTACTATGTGAATTATAAAAGTGCAGAAAGTTTTGTATGTTGGGAACCCAGATCTTGCACTCTAACTGGAACACACTGACCTTACTTTTTAGGCAGTTCTTCGAAACCTCTTACTAAGTAGCTTACTCCTTGAATAACCAAACTTTTGAATCCATAGGAGTGAAAGGATGGCATTTGCTTTAACTTGTTTGCCCGCAAGTCCACGCTGTATTTCTTTAAACATAATGCAGCATTAGAAAGGATGCGTGTGGGCAGAGGAGGGCATGTTGCCCTTTGGCCGCTACACATTGAGTAGAGTGGAACCTCCCAGAAGTTCTTCACAGCTTGCCCCAAGCAGGCTCGGTATTTCCATGAGAGCAAGTGGAGGTGAGACAGGACAGAGCTTCGTTCCCGCCTCTGCCCTTCTGACTTGTTGGAGCGGGAATCTGCCCTGCTGCAGGATTCCTAAAACAATTCAGAGCAGATGCCAAGGCCAGAGTATTATGTGGAATTTATTGTAGTCTAGGAAGTTGATGAGTTTGTAGCTAGAGAGGAATAGAAGGCAGACCTGCTTTCTAACATAATGGACAGTGGAAGCACTAAATTACAAGCTACTGTACTTCCTGTTCAGTCCCCATGTGTTGCCTGGTCTAGTCGACAGGTGGCGTCCCTGCCCATGACAAGGAGGTTGGACTAGATGATCTCTAAGGTCCCTTCCAGCCTAGGCCATTCTGTGATTCTATTTTATCTTGACTTTTTTTTTTCTGTTTAAGGTAAAATGAGGTCCAGTTTCTGTTATAATAAAGCTTGGCTTTTGAGCCCAAATGCCTTTTGATCTTTTTTGACATCCTTACTTATATTTTAAAAAAATTAAGAAAATCTCGAGGCAGTAACCCCCTATCAGACAGATGACTCACGGTCATACTGCAGCCAGACAGGACAATCCATTATATGATTTAATGGCAGAGGCACTCTGAATCACATCTAGTTTTTGGAATGTATTTGCATCTCATCCATTTGCACCTCACTCCCAGGGAGTGTTGTAGCTCTTCTCCTTGTTAAAGATTCTGTGATGTCTTGTGTCTGCACAGGTTGGCAGTATGGGTCGGCTTGATGGGAAGGTCATACTGCTGTCTGCAGCAGCACAGGGGATTGGACGAGCAGCTGCTCTCGTAAGTTGGAAAATGTTTGTTCTCCTGTACCTAGGTTGTACCTGTATCTAATGCTAGATTGTCCAATGACACCTGCACCAAACGAGTGCTTGAACCATAGCTGATGTCAGAACTACCCATGGAAAAATTCAGGGAGTAATACAGTCACTGTGCATGCTTTCATCCAATATCACCGCTGCTTTGTTACGAGAGGAGGTAAGAAGGGTAGAGGGAATATTTCCTGTTACAAGGCTGGATACTAGAAAGATCCCTTACAGTAGAGCTAAGATATTTTATCTGTATTAATAGGTGATGTAACCAAGTCTATGTGATAACAGCAGAGCTACAGCGTTCACAATGAGCAACTATGAGAAATTCTTTACAAATTTTAATTAACTACCATTAAACAGAATTCAACATACGTATTAACTTTCTGCTTACCTTTCAATTATTTTTGACCAGTTCTTCTCCTGTTCCTTCCTTCTTCCACAGCAGATAAACTAGTAGAGATATCTCAGTATCTCTAATATAATCAACAAGCCAGGAAGAGCTCCTGCAAGTAGGATTTTTGCTAGTTAGTTTCTCATGTGTGCAATTAGGAATGCAAAAGACTGCTGATCCTGGCACTTAGATTAAAACACTGAGTAGGTAATTTTCTTGATGACTTCACTTTCTAAATACCCAACAAGCCACAGAAGGCTGGCATGTTTAGTGCCACTATCCTCTTAAGCTTTACTTGGGACACTTATTTTGAAGATTAGAGGCTACCATCTGAGATGTCAGAATACTTTTGATGTGAAGGTTACTTTGTTAGCATAGCTGTTGAATTATCAGTAATCACAATGCAGTGAAAGCAGGTTTTGAGGGAAGCATTAGGAATGAAGAAATATCTCTGGTTAAGTATCAAAGTACAGTTGTGCTTCTTTTAAAATTGCTCTGTTCCAATGATTTGGAGGCAAAAGACTTTCATAAAGTTTATATACCACCATTCCTTTTTTAAGACTCATGCCTTGACCTGTCAAATCCCATAACTTAATTTAAATTCAACAATACAGACACTTCTAGACCTACATGTTTGTAACATGCCTACTAGTGTATATGTAGTTAATATGGGCAATGATAATAGCAGTTGACTTAGTCTGGATACTGTTCTTGTACTTTATTCATGGATTTCTTACTTTAAGGAGAAGATCTTAACATCTGTTTTATATCACATATGGTTACTTAGTTATCCGCAGCATGTGTGGGCCTTGCTCCCTGACATACACAGAATGAAAAGTGTGAGATTAGCTGCCTTCAGCCAACTTTTATTTCATGCTGGAAAGGAAATGAGAAGAAACCGGATTTTATTTCTGGTAAAATTTGGGACAGCTAAATATAAACTTCTCTTACTTGTATTCTTCAGGCTTTTGCCAAAGAAGGAGCCAAAGTCATTGCTACAGACATCAATGAGTCTAAGCTGCAAGAACTAGCAAAACATCCAGGTAAATGGCCTACAGTAGGCTTTAGTTCAGCTCTTCTAAGGTTTTGTTGTAGACTGGTTGAAAGGGCAAACTTCAAAAGGACAGAAAAAATGGAAAATATCTAGACTGATTCTTTAGATGTTGGCTTTACTTTATACCGTGGTGTGGAATGGTAGAGATTTAGCGTGTGAAATACTGCAACATCAACGTATTGAGCAGAATATTATTCCAGGCATATGGAATAACTTCGACTTTCTTGTGTCACAGAAGCAGTTGATTTCTGCTTCCCAGAAAGGCACCCATTTCAGTTACCTTTTGAGATCACTAGGCTAATTGTCAAATGTGTATCACTCTAAAAGGCATGGAATACTTTTCTCTGGATGAAGGGACTAACTTCCAGCTATGCAAAAGATAGATTTAGTGTCTTTCATTTCCATTGTCCGTACTTACTAAGGAATGCATGAAAAGGATAGCCATCTAGCAGAATTTGTATGTCTTGAGAAGCTAATTCCACCAGTCCTAGAGAAGCCTAGTCTGTTTGTACAAATGCTCAGGCCTGAAGGTTGCTTTGCTACTGATTTCTCTGGAGAAAATACATGAAATATAGGCTCTGTAATTCTTCAGTTTGAAAGTACAGTGGAATTCACATTTATTGGACATATTCTTATGGTAAATGACATTAGCTCTTTTGCTTGTGTGATGCCATATCACAATCAAATCAGTTGATATTTCTTCTAATTCCTTCCTGAAATTTTAGATGGCATGCCATGCTGTCCATTGCTGACCTAATTTAACTATTGCACTAATTTAATCAGTAAGTGTAGCTCTCGCTCAGCGATTCTCCATGTCATGGGGAACCACTGAGAGAGGACTGTTCCTGGCAAGCCACTAACTTGAATTGTAGATGCAGTCCTCAGCACTTCAGAAAAATAAACTACTGATCCTTAGCCAGATGCACTGAAATGAATACCATGTTTTCCTAGGCATTCAAGTACGGGTTCTGGATGTCACCAAAAAGGAGCAGATAGAAAATTTGGCCATGGAGATTGAAAGGATTGATGTTCTCTGTAATATTGCAGGGTAACCAGCTTCTACTTGGTCCTATTTCTTTTTCTGTTTTTGTTGGGTTTTTTTCTGTTCTCCGGAAGTACTTTCTTTTACTTAAATGCATTTTATATCTTTAATGCAAGTTTTCATGTGTTTTCATCAACACTGAACTTTTTGTGCGTAGCTGAGTTACTCAGGCCAAGATAGAAGAGCTCTAGAATTCATGTTTTACCCACGCTATGGGTGCCCTGTACTGATGGCTTTGGCCCTCCTAGCACAACAGTCAGCAAAGCTGATGGTCTGCCAGTGCGCTGTCTTTTTAAATTTCCCTATTATCAAAAATTTCTTTGCACATCTCAGATCTGTCCTGTCTCCCTGACACTCATGCAGAGAAATCTACTATTGTTGCTTACTTTCTTTGAAAGAGCTCTTGTACCTCCTTTTCAAGGTTGGAAGGATTAGCTGTTGCAAAATAGCAATGGAAAAATATTCATAAAAAGTCATACATATGTAAATCTCAGACAGTAATTCACTTCATGCACTTATTCTAGGTTTGTTCATCATGGAACCATTTTGGAGTGTGAAGATCAAGACTGGAACTTCACCATGAATCTCAATGTTCGCAGCATGTATCTAATGATCAAGACATTTCTTCCTAAGGTACCTCTTGACTGCTCATGATTTTTAGACTCTGCTGCATTGTGTTTGAAGTGTGAGAGGTCTAAGGTGTTGCCACTTGTGACAGCACGAGATCTGAGATTAAAAGGCAAGTGTGCGGCTTTGTATAGGGGAGGCCCTTAGATTATAATGATGCTACTCTGAAGCATTCCCTGTGTGGTGCAGTCCTTCAAGTAGACAATCTGTCTAAAGGATACAGTGAAGAAGATTAATTCAGGGGGTTTACCCTATGTCATTTGTAACTAAAATCCTTCCAGCACAGAGCAGTGAGGGAGACATTGCAGTAAGGTGCCACTGTATTATACTATAGCACACAGCTGCGTGTCACTGCTCGAAAATATTTATATGTATATTAATATGAATTTTATGTAAATCTGGAAACTATCCTGTGAAGTAAGTGGGTGCCACTCTCACCAACACACTTGTTATATCAGAATAACAATCCAATTAGGATTGAGGACAGCTTGAGGACACCTGTTGTGTTTGATGTAGAAACACGGGGTTTGGTACTACAAAAATTTGTGGACTGAATAAGATGTTTTATTCCTGTAAATGCAAAGGCCAGAAGTAGAAGCCATGACCACAGTTGGATGACAACTACTCTCTTCAGTGTTGTTCCAGTCCTCTTTGTGTGGTTGGTTTTTATGGTTTGTGTTGTGTTTTCTTTTTCTTAGCTGATCTTCATTTTCAAAGGTTCTTTACAACAACTTCAGGCTTCTCAGGTTTTGAGATGCCTGAAAGGTTTATAACTTCAAGAAATTTAGCTAATTCAAAGATGCCAGGGAGTTGTGTTTTAGTCTTCTCCAAAGCAGTGGAGAAGGGAATTAGTGCATTGGTAGGTGACATGCGCAGATGTCTATGTAGGACAACTTCCCGTGGTGACAAGAGATGGCTGTCAAGGAAGAAAAAAAAAAAATCCTTTCCTGTCATTATCTTCACTTCTGAAATAACTTCAGGGAAACTACTGAGAATTTCAGATTCTGCTTTACTACTTCAGTCAGTAGGTCAAAAAGAGAAAAGCACCTATTGGTGCCAGTTAAGCTTTGTTGCCCTGCATATCAGCTGCATGTAGGGCTGTTCTGTGGGTTGTTATGGGCTATTTCCCTGTACCTGCAGATGACAAAATAGTTTACATTTGAATGACATAAGTATTCTTTTGTAGATGCTTGAACAGAAATCTGGAAATATTATAAATATGTCTTCTGTGGCATCCAGCATTAAAGGTCAGTAGCTTGTTAGAGTTCCTTATGTGAACCTTTAAAATAATGGGAATGCAAAATAAGTATTGCACAGCTTTGAATTTAGAGGACACTGCCAATCTTGTGGAGACATGCAATTAATAAAAAAAATTGATCCACTCATACAGGCACACACAGACATAAAGGGAAATTGCAGAAACACTAAGATCCTTGCCTTGTAGCTTTTGGATCTGTCCTAAATGTTGCATAGCATCCTTTTTATCAGTTTGTAATAACTGAAAAGGAATTACTTCTAGTGATATCTTAGTACTTATGTTCTTCAAAGAAACAATGAAGAAATTACAGTTATGTAAATGCTATAGCTGTGCTTCCCAAGGAAACCTTATGGTGACTAACAGATAGCTCTCTGCTGTTCCTAAATCTTTGCTTTGTAATTTTTTTCTAGACTGCTTCCCAAACTCACACTGTTGAAAGATTATGTGCTTTGCTCTGGTGTGTGCCTGAGTAGAATTCAGGCAGTCAGCATTCTAGTTAGCCCACCCTTATGGAGAGACTAAAGGTGCTATAGGAAATGCTGGAGTCTACTCCACTAACTTGGCTTTTTTTTCCTTTTTTTTAAATACATTTCTATGCTGCCTTCACACTGGCCTTCTGTTAGGAGTCGTGAACAGATGTGTATATAGTACTTCAAAGGCAGCAGTTATTGGTCTAACAAAGTCTGTGGCTGCTGATTTCATTGAACAAGGCATCAGATGCAACTGCATATGTCCTGGTAAGTATTCTTACGTTATTTTGTAAACTAGGAGCGGGTGCTAGAAGGCCAGGTTTAGTTTTACATTATTAACTAAGACTAGACTTGCAAGTGGCAACCTAAAAGAGCAGGATATGCTTGAAACATTTCTGAAAATTAAAGTAGAAAAGCTGTTACTTTTCTAGTTAAGATGTACATTTAATCTGTTAAGCCTATATATGAAAACAGACAAATACTGTGTAATTCAAAGATACACTCTGAGAAGTTAGAAGCAGGCGAGGGCTTGCTAACAGGCTAGTCATTGTTTAGTCATCTGGAAATTGAATCTAATTCTCCAAAGTTTTGCCTTCTATTGAAATTTAGAATCCTATGCTACATTGATTGTTTTGCAGTCTTTCTCTTGGATCATATTATGAAGTTAAGCTTAAGTGTTAGGACATACAAATAGAACCAATGGACTGTTTGATGGGTTTTTTTCCTGATTGTTGATGCAGTTGATTTATAACACTGAATTTAAAATTTTGTTTAGGAACTGTTGACACGCCATCTTTACAGGAAAGAATCCAAGCCCGGCCTAACCCAGAACAGGTGAGAAAGCAATTTATTAGTTTGATCATGTATGTACATATGTTTAACTCCCTTTAAAAAATAAAAAAAATATATAGTGGCATTTCTGCCCTATTTCAGAATAGCCATGATAACAGTAGTGTCTCCTTTGGTAGCAGTTTGGTCAGTTTGTCCTCAGGACAGAAGTCTTAAAATGCCTCAGAAGGGTGCTGTTGCTTAGTGAATACAGAGGGTGTGTCATTTATGGAGGCATTTGCAAACATTGATTAGAATATCTAGTGTAGATACTGTAGAAGACATTTTCTACTCTGATGTGGCAGCCACAAACTAGTGCAAAACCATGAAAGAGAGAGTACTCTGGCCTATGAAGTAAAATGCTATTTGGTATGCTTAATCATACTGGCTGGATCTGTGAGCCCTCATTTGAAGGGCCTGGGAATATCTACCACCAAAGAAGGACATACATTGGCTTTATTCTGGAACCAGAGATTTAGGTCCAGTCTCCTACTGTTTTTCAACCTGAAGTTCACATCACTGTTAATCTTCTAATTTCGTTTTTAACATACATTTCCTACTTACTGTACTAGAAAAAGTTATGATTTGTGGCCTGTTTCTAGTATTGCTTTGTACCTATCATACTAATCAGTTTAAAATAATTGGGGTTTTATATTTTATTGTATACTGAATGCTCTTGCATGTCTAGGCATTGAAAGACTTTCTAGCCAGACAGAAGACTGGTAGGATGGCCACTGCCGAAGAAGTGGCCCATCTCTTTGTGTACTTGGCCTCCGATGAAGTAAGTGTGGAACAATAAAATTTCCTGTTACAGAATCCTGTGCTACTTTGCTGCTTCACAATAGAGAGGATTTGGTTTAGGAGGATTTATATTGTCTTTGAGCTGGATTATATACAAAAATTTTAAAATTATGATCTTTTACTGAGTTCAACCTACGATACAAAAAGTAGTCTGAATGCTGACAGTGATTGTTAAGACATTATGTACTTGGTACCATAGCCTAGTGGTTTCATGTTATGATCACACTGACTGACACCAGACCATAGAATCATCCTGACTGATGGGAAAAGTGGGCTTGTCTACCTTTCCAAGTTTCCACCATGGCTAGGTCATGTTTCAAGCAGGTAGAATTAGTAATCATCACCTACTTTCACTATTCAAGAGCAAATATGTGCATAGAACTGCTGGGGATTTTAGCTAAAAGGGTTAATGCTCAGAGTGAAACTACCCTTTCAGCATAAGGAAAACAACAGACCTGCTGAGGATGTTATATACCAAACTCTTAATGACCACTGCAAATGTCACCAACACCAATAAGCACATATCAAGGTTTTTTCACATGCTATAAATTTACTGTGAAGCTAAAATTGAACTGGGTCCCACTGGCCTTGCCCAGCAGTTCTAGCGAACATAACGCTGTAATGAGCTTAATTCAGTCTTAATGTTGCTATCTGTCAGTAATCAGTTTCTCACTTTCATCTTGGTTCTACTCTTTCTGTAAAGCTACTAATTTTTTCCAGTCTGGTCATAGGGCTTTCAACCACGCATAGACAGAATTCCAGTTTTCCAGTGTAGAATCATAGAATGTGTTGGGCTGGAAGGGACCTTTAAAGCTCATCTAGTCCAACCCTCAGTGTGCTTCAGTACTGATGCAGAGAAGAATGTCAACAGCAAAGTTGTGCACTGTCTGCATAACCTAAATTTTCCATTAGGTTCCCTTATAATTACTGGCTGACTTGGTCAGATTCTGCTAGCTGAACAGAGCTAGTAACACATAGTGTGAGCTGTTATTCCTGAAGGTAAGATACCTGAAGTCTAGTTTATATGAATTTGTACGCTTAGGATGCCTTCTCATCTTAATGCCTCTAATAAATACTTTTGCTAAGCTCACCTGAGTTAGCTGAAAGGGTTCCATTTCTGAGTTTGTTTACATTCTACTTATTCAGATATTTTTGTAAAACAAAAAAGTTCATGTAAGAAGAAAGTTGTTGGGTTGGGGTTTTTTTTAATTTAAAGAAAAAGTGTTTTCCTGTAATTAATAGCCATAAAATTAGTTAAAATTATTGTTAATTTTTATGTAATTTCAGTCTGCCTACGTGACTGGTAATGAACTAATCATTGATGGAGGATGGAGCTTGTGACTGACCCTGCTTGCAAGTGGGAATTCATATTATGAAAGGCAAAAAGCAAAGATTGAGATTCTCAGTTAAGCTTGCAAAGATTTAGATCGCACACATGATGGAATTCAAAGCAAATTTGATGCATTTTTACTGCTATGTGATCTCTTTCTAGGTTGATCTTACTGATACACTTTTCCCTAAATAGTGAAACACTGGAGTAAAATGTACTTCATGTGGCTTCAGTTTATGGTGACTCGAAAAACATGAAAGAATAGCAATTTAACATTTAAGATTTCAGAGGGCAAAGAATGCTATTTAAGGTGCAAGAATCTGAGTTGTGTTTTAAGCAAATCCGAGTGAAAGGAATTAAATGCCACCTTTGTTCTCATTCCTCAAAGTATTTGGAAGCTAAACATTCACAAATATATTTCCTACTAGCATTGACAGACTATCCAGAGAAAACTGAGCAACTCCTATTAAATCAGCCAAACTGATCCCAAACTAAATGGAGTTTAAGCAGAAATAATAACAAATTTGAAGATTGGAGCATTTGAATAATTTTGTTGCTGGTAATAGATGTTTATATATTAGAGAACATATTAGTTGTGAATAGTACTAGAAAATACATTCTGCTTTGCAAGTTGAAAAGCTCTTTCTGCTCTCTACTCTTGTTAGCCAAATAGTTTAGAATTGTAATAGCTGTGTAAAACCAGTCTGAATTGTTGGAAAGAATGTCCCAAGCCTGACAATACTTACAGATCCAGTGGGCAGTGCAAGGAAGTCAGACCCTGTAGGTACATGGTATATGGGCACATTAAACTTCCCACACCTGCAGCGAAGAGTCAGTGTGCGTGCACAGCTGGTTTGTGCCACTGCCGAGTCCATTTTCCAGATCCTGGGCAAGTCAGACTCTTGGAATCTGGAGAAACAGTAGCGCAAAAGGCAGGGCAACAGGTTACCGTTAGAAGCAATAGGATTGGCCACTTCGTGGAGTTTGGGAGGGGTTTATTAAGTGCATAATCATTATATACACTGTTTTCATGAAGGAGAAATAATGGAGAGGAGCTCGCTCTAATGGTTAAGAATAAAGCTTATAGCATGTAGAGTGCATAGAGAATCTCGTGTAGCTTTACAATCGATTAGAGAATGGGTACATTAGCTAGTACAAAAGAAGTCCTGGTGGGAGAAATAGACACTGGAACTATTTAATTAATGATATGTATCACTCCTAAAATGGTCTTGGAAATATCATTCCTATATCTATCTTTTTCTTCCTCCTTCCATATACAGAAAATACTATGCAAGGACGACATCACTCTGGTAGGCATGGATGGGAGTATATGTGTGAGAAGTATTTTTATGTACACAGGTGGATCTTATAGAATCATAGAATGGTTTGGGTTGGAAGGGATCTTAAAAATCATGTAGTTCCAACCCCCCTGCCATGGGCAGGGACACCTCCCACTGGACCAGGTTGCTCAGAACTCCGTCCAGCCCGGCCTTGAACACTTCCAGGAAGGGGGCATCCACAGCCTCCCTGGGCAACCTATGCCAGTGCCTCACAACCCTCATAGTAAAGAATTTTTTCCTGAGATCTAATCTAAATGTACCCTCTTTCTGTATGAAACCATCACCCCTTTTCCTATCACTGCCCTTCTTTCCTGTAGGCCCCCTTTAAGTACTGGAAGGCTGCTCTAAGGTCTCCCTTCTCTTCTCCAGGCTGAACAACCCCGATTCTCTTAGCCTGTCCCATAGAGGAGGTGCTCCAACACCTGAGCATCTCTGTGGCCTTCCTCTGGACTTGCTGCAACAGGTCTAGGCCCTTATGCTGGGGGGCCGCACAGCTGAATGCAGGACTGCAGGTGGGGTCTCACCAGAGCAGAGTAAGGGGAAGAATCACCTCCCTCGATTTCCTGGCCATGCCTTTTTTTGATGCAGCCCAGGATCTGACTGGCTTTCTGGGCTGCAAGTGCACGTTGCTGGCTCATGTTCGGTTTTTGATCCACCAGTACCCCCAAGTCCTTCTCTGGAGGATGCTCTCAATCCACTCGTGGCCCAGCCTGTATTTGTGCTTAGGATTGCCCTGACCCAGGTGCAGGACCCTGCACTTGGCCTTGTGCCTTATTTATTCATCTTTGTGAATACGCTTGACTTCTGCCACACAAAAAAGGAGTGGATTTTACCACTCTAAATAGAGACAATATATTCCTCCTCAAAAGAATGTATTAATATTCAACAAATAGTGTAAAATGAGTATGCTAGGCACTAGGCTTTAGTATTCTATGGTTTGATTCTCAAATGCTAGTACTGTAGTTCATGCTAAAACACAAGGCTAAGTTACTCTGAAAATGACTGTTTCTGTAAGTGTTTGTGTTGATGTTTTTATTGTGATAACACATTCTAGCTTTGATATATGAATCAGAAATGTATTATCATAAAGACTCATACTCTGGGAAAACGCATAGATGCTGACCGAGAAATCTAAGGCAATGAATAACCTGAATTCCAAAACTATTTGTTTTGCTAACATATGGTTAATATTGACGTTAATGACATGGGCTGTCTTAAAAATTGCATGCAGCTCCATTTATCTAGTCTTTGAATGAAGGTGTATGTAATTTCATGTATTGAATACATGTATATGTGAGGGAAGGAGTTAAAGAATAAATGATACTGAGTATGACTGATCAGAAATCACAGACAAAAATGTACAATATTTTGTGCATGTTTCTGTAACAACTGCCATGTTTCTAAAATCATTGCTTAAGCTTTTCTCAATATTATCTAAAGCATTCATAAATAATTCGATTTCAAAGATAATAGAACATGTTTAGTTCAAATCCGACTTCTTATTTTAAAGCATTGTATAACTTTTACAAATGAGAAAGTATTGCAGATATTGGCTTCCTCGGGCTTATCATGAAATTAACTTTCAACTGTGGCTGGAGCATTCTGATCTTGCAAAGTTTATGGGCTTTTTGAGTAAAGCAACCCTGGTAGCCAAGCAAGATCAAGGTGAGGAAGAAATCCAGAGTTATTTAAAATTACTCCACTGGTGTTCACTGATGTAAATTCAAATGTTAAAAGTTCAGGCTGGCAGGATACTGTTTCCATCATTTCACAGTACTTCCTCTATAGTAGGTGTAGAAAGCTTACCTTGAAAAGAGAATCTCCCACTGCAGTAACATGGGAAACTTGCACTGCGTATTCTGAAAATGTAATTAAGAATCTCAGGCAAAATGTATTACAATTATTGAATATTGAACTTTATTAGTTAACATTTCTAAGCTCAGTGGTGATTGTAATATATAGATGGTACTCAGAAATGTCTTCTTTTTTTTTCAAAGCCCTCCTGCAAGAAGAGGAGATACCATCTGCTTTTTACATTACAATAAAAGCAGAGAGACACAACTTTTTCAGTGGTAGGCCGAAAAGCTGATAGACCAGAAAAAAAAAAAAAGCAGTGGAGATTGCTGTCTCTTGCCCTATCAGCAGTGTTTTTCATAGGTGTTTTAACAGCCACACCTCTGAAATGTGTTCTAGTGAATAGGGGTTTCGCAGCTGGCTTGCTGAAATCATTAAAGGAGAATGCTTCTTAATGCTCTTGTGACCTCTTAATTTCCTGATCTCTTTTTAATGGAACTGGGTAATTCTGTTTTCCTTCCACTCCAGTGATAATATAAAGAGGAGTTTTTTGACTCTTCAGATTCTAGGTCAAACTTTTTCCTTGTGAGGAGGGGAGAAAACACCTTACTGATTTGGAGTCCTTCTGGAAAATTTAATCCATTTAAAAAACAGTGCTGTGTGTATTTTTTCTTTCAGACTTGTAGTCAGCTTAATTTTGTGCAATGCTACTAGGAGCAAAGTAGCAACACATTGCTTTTCAATCTTTTTTCACATACACTCAGTGTAGCTTGCAAAATGAGGTTGAGAGAGGGAGTCCGTCTCATTCCCCCATATGCAGTTACAGATAAGGTGGACACACTTGATTCTTCTTTTAAAAGTAGAAATGTGATGGAAATACCACAAATCTGCAAGCTTCTGTTGTTTTGTTATGGGTTTTAAAATTTTTATTCTCCTGCCTGCCCCAGTGCAATTCTTCTGCATGCACCCAGAGCAGAATAATCTAAAGATCTTTACCCATTCTTCGCACCTAACCTCCAACTGCGGTGCTGCAGTCTGAGTAAAAGGATTTTGTGTAGCTTCCCCACGTCTCTTCCCACGGACACAGGAAACCAACCTTCTTCGTGTGCACAGGTTGCAGTGAAATGACATGGGAAGCAGAGGCCTGGCTATATGAGACCCAAAAATCTGCTTCCTCCTTGTCCTTCGTCCTCCTGGATGCCATGGGCTCAGGGCTGGGCCGTTGCTGGGCCAACCTGACACCTTTTTGACAGGTCAGATCTCAGCCACCACTGGCTTCCCCAGCCTCCCGCCGCCTGCCCAGCGGTGACCTGTCCGCAGTGCCCAAAAAGCGAGGACACCCGCGAAGCGCTCTCGGGCTTCCCAAGCTCCACACTGAGGTTTTTGGTGCTGGTCTAGCGAAGCTGTCGGCTGTGGAGGAGGGACTGTGGCAGCAAGAGGGGAGTGGGGGCCAGAGCGGGCACAGAGCCGCGGCTGCGGCTTGCTGGGAGCGGATCGTCGCCTCCACCGCCTCCGCGCTCAGGGTCCGGCCGTGCGGGAGAGGCAGCCCAGGGAGCGGGTCCAACACTGGTCCCTGCCATTCCCCAGGTGAGTTTCTCTGCCCCTCTCTCGCTGCATCTCCAGCCCCCGCGGCAGGAGGGAGGTAACGTGGTGGTGGGGCTGTTAATCTCACGGGGGTTTTTTGGTGTGGCGGGAAGCTGCCGAGTGAGGCGAGGAAGGAGGTTGCATCAGGGTTTACTTACGCCTTTTATGGACGATGATGCGTGCTTTGGGTTGGGGTTTTTTTGCTGGTCTGTTTGTTTTCCTGAATGTTTTTTGTTGCTGGTAGTGGTTGTGGTATTTTACTTGGATTCCTTTCCGTACTGTGTGTGTGCAAATCTGAACGCTGACAGTCACCAGGGCAGTAGAGCTACTGCTATAGGCACGCACATGCTGCCCCTGTCAGTCATCTCTTCAGTTCAGCTGTCCCTCCCTTTCTTCCTCTCTACCAGTTAAAAGCAGGTGAAGTGAGAGGATCTAATAAAAATATATAATAGTCTTTCTTGTTTCAAAATAAAATCTATTTTACAAGGAGGTACTGAAATAAGGCTCTTACTGGCTAGTTTCCATGGTACAGACCTTAACCCTGTGGAATGAATTCTGCTCCATGATTTCACAATTGCTGATTTTGTTTTGTTTATGGGATGAAGCTTAAAAAACAAGACAACTCCCATCCTTCCCCCCCCCAGAATAATTCAAAACAACCAAATGACAGCACAAACCCAGAACAACCAACCAAATACCATGCATCCCAGAAAACCCCACCCTGGTGTGAGTAAATTAACTGCTGACTTTGGCCTCATTAATCCAACTGGCTGTTGCTTAAAAGCAGCAGTATCAAGAACGTGACAAGGTGAAGACCTGTCACAAAAGAGATAAGGACAGCACATACACTATCAGGGTTCCTCCTTCACAAAAACCTACTACGCAAAACATCCAAGCTCCTTGATCTGTCAATCTTTTCTTTTCTATACACTGTTGTAAACAATTCATTCAGGAGTCGAAGCTCTTGTGGACTTGGGTTTCTCAGAAGTATTAATATATTCCATGTCAACAGCTACATGATTCCAAAAATTTGGATGTTGCCCATGCAGAGCTAGATAGAAAGCAATATCCTTCTGTCCCTTGCCTATAAGCAACCCTTTCAGAATTAGAAAATTAAATGCTGCACATAACTTGGGGAAGTGAACAGCGAAAGGAAAGAAGGAAGGGCGCACTGGTAGGTTGCCGATACTTTCTGTTCTAGTTAGTAGACTGGCCTTTGTGGATTCCCACTGAAAGGATGAACAATCCTATGAAAAAAACCCCAAAGTATCACTTCATTGAAAAACTCCGAGACCACATGTTGTGGTTCAAGCCGACTGACCAGCAGGGAGAGACAGAGGAACCAGGCGGTCGCTCCCTCCCTCGCTTCCCCCCACCTGGAGTGAGGAGGAGAGCCCGAAAGGAGCAGTAGGCAAAGCCTCGTGGGGTTGAGATAAAAACAGTTTGTTTTAATGATGAAACATAAATGATAACAATAACAACGAAATAACAGTAGTGTTAAACCAGATACACCGCGAGTAATATGTAATGCGGACGTCTCGCCACCCGGAACCCAGCGACGCAGCAGAGAGATGGAAAGGAGAGAGAGATTCCTGCCCGGCCAGCTCCCTCTATATACCCCGAGCATGAGTCATGATGGTATCAAATAGCCCCTGGGCTAGTGGCTAGTTTGGTTCAGCAACCCCGCTATGCCCAGCTTCCAGTGAAAACTAACTATGTCCTAGCTGAGCCCGGTACTCCACAGCTATTTGGTTCCACGAGTAGTAATTAAAGATACAGAAAAGTACTGGAATTTGAGTAAATTTACACTTTACATTTGAAAAGGAAAGAAAGCAAAACTAATACCTTAGAACACATTGAAAGTGTTTGCCTAGGGCTCTGTATTCTTCTTCTATGCCTTGGCCATGTTTCAAGCCAGTTTCATATCAGAATGGCTCAAACAAAACCACCCAGGTGTTACAATAGCCCCTGTCTTTGTTCATGGCATCAGTCATTCCTAAACATGAAATATATCTTTATAAACTGAAGGCTTGATAATTGTGAGAATCAGTGCCTCTGACTTGGTTCCAGCAATTTAACAAGGAATTTCTTGGCTCAAACGTTCTGGCTTGAGTGATGTTTTCTATGGCCCAAACAATGTAAAAGACTTAAAATGTTGTTACCACTGAAACTTAGTTGGTGGAGAATATATGCCACTTTACCTGTAACAGAGAAGGATACTAGCAAGCCTCGCCTACAGATACGTGCATGCCATTCTTGCTAGCTCAGACTTGTGAAACTACAGTAAATATTGACACAAAAAAATTCTGACATACAGAGCAGTACGCTGCTGTATCGCTTGTTAGCATCTATGGGATAAGAAGTGGACCAGTTAGACTGAGTAAATACAATGACAATTACCCACAAACAACTTAGACCTTATTTTCCACTCTGAGAAGTATCTCCATGGGATATAAGCAGTAAAAAAGAGCCACGTTTTATCTGCCTCACCAGAATATAGAGTGCACGTTGTGCAGAGTCCTGAGCTTTATTCAAATAGGCATCTTCTTAAATACTCAGTCAATGTGTTTGTGAATAGTGGCATCCAACAGAACTACGTTCTTGAAAATTCCCCTCAAAATCAAGCTGGATCTGAGCAGATTTAAGATAGGGCGAAAGTGACTCTTTTTGTGTATACTTTAGAAACTTAGAAACTACAGTTAATAGCTGTATAAAATGGTTGCTTGCACTGCTGTGCACACAGAGCCTGTGACGCTTTCAGAACTAGTGGTCCTGGTAGATGGTGTTGACAGCAAATAACCTTTATCTTGTGCTGACAGGAGGCACAAATAGATACATATATTACAGCCATACTTTTAAGCAGGAAGTAACAGGCTAGCACAGGTCACTGTGATTTTAAATCTCAGATTTTTTGTTATTTTTCTATTGCTTAGCATTATACACTTAACACTGTTCTTCTGTTGGTTTCTGTCTCTTGTTCTTACATACAGCATACACAGGTATGCAAAAACCATACCTTACAAATTGGACTGTGAGGGTTTTTGTACCTCGTGTATGGGGAGGGAGACAACATCACTGACAAGTATTCTGTCCGGAAAACCGTATTATTTGCTTCTCTCTAGATTTTCTATCTTTATTGCTTTCCTTAGGTTTGCAACAATGGTAAAGGAGGATACTGTAAATAACAATGAAGATTCTGAGCCATCAGTATGCGAGAGAAATGACATGATTCCCATGCATGAGCAAAGTGAGGTAATTAATTAGGATTTCAAAGTACAATTGTAGTGAGAGGGAACCCTCCTTTCCTTTCTTTCTACATCTGAAGAGAATACAAAGAGAAATCTCCTCAGCTGGAATTTCTTACAATTAACTAATGTTCAGTTTTTAAAAGTCACTGGTGTGTTAGATTGCTGGAAATCAGTAGTTGCAATTTCAGCTTGAAGTGGAAAATGCACCAGCGTATGATTTACAGTCAGCAGTGGAAGAGAGTTGCATGGACTTAAGATTGCTTCTTTGCTTTCAATTTGTGCCTGTTGGTCCACTTGCTGAAAGTTGTTCATGCGTGTCTTTCTATCTTGGAAACTTACAGCTTTAAAAAATATCTACAGTAAGTGCAAGTAAGAATAAAATTCTTAACATAAAGGGCAGAATAAACAAAGGGCAGAGTAAACAAAGTATTGACCGTAAAGATAAGTACCGTATGGCGTATCTTTACACACACGGGTAGCTGGTGATCACAGAATCACAGGGTTGATAAACAAGTAATTCCATGCGGAAAACTCACAAGATTTGTGTTCCAGCTGTGACTCTGAGTAAGGGGGAGAGAGAGAGATTCAGAGAGAAAGAGATGAGACAAAAATAATCAGAAATGTGGAACTGTTACTGGAGGAAGGCCAAACCACAGTATAGGCAAGAATTCCATGTCCATGCTATGACAATGAGCTGACATGAAGGTGAATAATCGTACGAGAAGGTAGATGATTAACTTGTCAAAAATAAGGACCTTAAAATGAAGCAAGACATATCCAAAAATGGTCAAAAAGTGCTTTGGCTATGAATATGGATAAGTAGATGAACCAGTATAAGAGAACAGCTCCAAGAAACCGTTCTTCAAGGAAACAACTCCCAGGGTAGTATTTATCCATCTCTACCTTGATTTACCAGCTTGAGCCTTCAAGCAATGGATCATGTGAGTAATGCTTGCACTGGCCAGCTGTTCTGTTTCTTTTTTGCCTAATCAAAAGCAGGTTTTGTTATTGTGGTTTAAGGCTTTGCAACAGAAGTTATTCAGGAGTTATATTAAAGACATTGTTTTGCTGGAATTATGCTAATTGTTAACCATATTGTGAAATCCCATCTGGAAGCCGAACCTTATCAAACTGTACAAAATATTAATAATTATTTAGCTTGTGCACAAGACAAGCTGAACCTGACCTGTTAATATTGTTTCTTTATCAAATTTGCTGATATTGTTGCTGAACAGATGCTGTAATGGGACAGGAGCCTTGCCAGTTGCAGATAAAGAGGCAAATGTCCTGCAGTCTCTCACGTGCAGTTCTTTGTGCCCTGCAAAAACAAACATACAACCAAAATTCCCGGATATACTACAAAGCTGGACCATTCCTACACCATTTTTTTCATTAATGTGGATCTAGTGCATACAACTGATTTCAGGTCTTGTACACTACTTCAGATGTATACAGTGTCACTTCTGAGAGTCTCATTTTCATTCAGGAGGGAGCAACAGGAGATGCCAAAGGTACCGAGGGGAACACGCAAACAGAAGAAACTGCTCTCTTGAATCATTGTGCTCAGCAACCTCCAGAACTGACAACAGGGTCTTCAGTACCTGCAAGAACATGGAGGCAAATATTTACTTGTCCTCCTCAGGGTTTACTGGCCCGAACAGTGACAAATGGTATGTAAGAAGGACACGAGTTTAATTAAAATGACAAATGGCAAATGAAGTACTCATTTCTTTGGATGTGATGATGTCTATTGTCCTTAAAAACAATGAAGGGAAACAGCTATGTTTTACATATCACATCTTTGTTTCAGTGTTTTAGCAGGGAAAAAAAAAAAGAGACAAACCAAACGTTTGAATGTATAGGGTGTTTTCCTCCATCCTCTCTTCTGTGTTTAACGTGCTTAGGTATGTTTTTGCATTGCAAATTGCTTTCATCAGAAGAAAGACCTCCTAATTCTCACCTTGATAGTTCATTTTAGTGTTTAAGATGATTATAAACAGAGTGGTATTTTTGGCACACTGGATGGCTTTTTGTTAAGGCAGCAAATACGAGGCAGTGATGCCTTCTTTTGTTCCTTAATACACCAGGCTTGCAAAGCCAAGAGTCCAAACTAGAAGCCAAACTGACCCATTCTATTTAAGATTTGCCTTATGCTGAAGGCTTGTAGAAGAAAAGCCTGGCTAGCCAGTTATTTCAGATTTTTCCCAACAAAAGACACTTCTGTAGCTTTGACTGCTTCCACAGTCTCCATTTTCAGTTGGAATTCTTAATCTTTTATGCTTGGAAATCTACTGGTCCTCTCTTTGCCACCTGTCACCGTCAAATAAGATTAAGAAAAACCCAGCTGGAAAATGCAGTGCATTGTCTTGTGATTATGAGAAGAGGGATTTATTCAATGCATTTTTGGCTCTTTTTCAGTCTTCTGCTTTTGTATCTATGCATGCCTGTTGGATAACTGTAGAAACAGATTTGGGAACCTGGAAAGAGCATAACATTTTCACATATTTTATTTTCACTTAATGTTCTCATAATATTTTTCAGGATTTTTCTTCCCTGTGTGTTATCCCTCTTTGATTGCTGTATCAAGAGAAGTATCTGTACTGCTTCAGGCTGTGCAGAGGTGTGACTGTCTTCAGAATATTTTTTTCCCTCCAGATTTTTATTGCAATACACGGCAATGTATTGCACCAGCACATCCAGTCAAAAAAGTGATACTTAAATCCTTTCAAAAATTGGCATGGAGCCTGCAGTCATTAGAAGATTTGCCAGGCTGTATAGTAGCAGGTTCAAAATGCGGTTCTGAAGTAGTTGAAGGAAGATAAGCAAATGCAAGATGTCTCTGCTGCAAGTTTGGCACCTCTTAAGTGCTTTTCACAGTGGCCTAAGGCTCAGTTAGTACTTTTCAGTCCCTAATGATGTTCCTGTTACCATTTTTTTTTAAGTAGCTTAGCATCTATAAAATCAGAACATCAGTTTAGGGAGCATCAAAGATTAAACACAGTTATGATTAAACTAATTTTTAAGGTAAGTAATTTTATTAGTGAAAGTCACAGTACCTTTTTCATTAGTAGAAGAATAAATGTGAGTCTCATAGCAAAGAAAATTGTTCCTGAAGAGCATTAAATATGAACATCTCTTTGTTTTTTTTCCAGTTGCAGCCATTGTCCTGGTATGGGCTGTGGTTTGGTCCATCACTGGGACTGAGTGTCTCCCAGGTGGAAATCTATTCGGAATTATGTTTCTTTATTTTTTTGCTGTCATTGGAGGTAAAATTTTTGGATTCATTAAAATAGGAACACTACCGCCTCTCCCTGCTCTTCTGGGTAAGACACCCTTCCTTCTTTTCTTCCTGCATATTTGTGTTGTTTAAACTGTCAAATACTTAGTATCTGCATACGAGGTATGTTTGGATTGGAAGAAACAAACTGCATCATGCTCAAAATCTGTAGCTTTTTTAAGTGGCTTTTATCTGGTCCTTTCTTTGGGAATGCAAGATTCCCTGAACAGGCTCAATTGAAACTGCCCATATGATACTAAGGCTCTCCTCTTAATTCTTTGGGGGGCAGAGAACTATATTCCTACAGATTCAAATGCTATTGTCCCTCAGTCTCCTCTGTCACAGATACTTAATATTTGGATTTAATATCACTAAACAGAGGTCTTAATCTAAATATTCTGTTACAGTACAATAATTACTTCATAAAGAAATGATTGCTGAGCCATTTCACATGTATCTTGCAAAATGAAAATGTTTTCCAAAGAAAACACTACAGGCATTTCCTCACTCTTCTCTGTCTCTCAAAGTAGCTGAAACCTGAGAAAATACATTCACCACAAGGAATAATTCTTCTGAAGACTGTTATTTTGAACCAATCATGACATTGTTTTTCATATCAACATCTTATTTGATTTTACCTAAAAATGAAAAATAGAAATGGGAGATGAAAATTAAATCAATTCTGACATCATAGAATCATAGAATTGTCAGGGCTGGCAGGGACCTTAAAGATCATCTGGTTCCAAGCCCCCTGCCATGGGCAGGGACATGCCCCACTAGATCAGGCTGCTCAGAGCCCCATCCAGCCTGGCCTTAAAAACTTCCAGGGATGGGGCTTCCACCCCCTCTCTGGGCAACCTGTGCCAGTGTCTCACCACCCTCATGGGGAAGAACTTCCTAATGCCCAGTCTGAACCGATCCATGTCTAGCTTTAATCCATTCCCCCTAGTCCTATCACTACCCAACATCCCAAAAAGCCCCTCACCAGCTTTCTTGTAGGCCCCCTCAAGATACTAGAAGGCCACAACAAGGTGTCCTCGGAGCCTTCTTTTCTGCAGACTGAACAGCCCCAACTCTCTCAGTCTGTCTTCATAGGAGAGGTGCTCCAGCCCTCTGATCATCCTCGTGGCCCTTCTCTGGACATGTTCCAGCGTGTCCATATCTTCTTTTCAGACTTCTTTCCTAGAGGATGTTTTGATTAGATCAACACAGTGTTGTGAAATGCTTTGATGTTAATGAAGCTGAAAAATGATGCTCCAGGTTCTTCTCACCATGGCAGAATGGGCTGCAAATACCTGCCGGTAGTGCACAGATGTGATTTTTGTAGCTTGCTTAGCTTAGCTGGTGGTGTGCCTGACATGGTAGCACTGCTTACGGAAGCGCTAGGTGGCTTAATATGGGGCTCTGTTCAGGTAGCCTGTGCATTCTTGCACTGCTTAGTTTCACTAATGAGAAAAACATTCAAATAAGAGGGAGCAAAGTGTTGTGTATAGCATGCATGCCTGCAATAATATGAATACAAAATGTAACACACAGGGAGTCTGCCCTTTCCAGTTAAACACCCCTCTTATGAACAAAAAAGGTTCTGACCTTTTGCTTTTTTAAAACAAAAAAATATTTCCCACTTTATCTAAAAGTTACAAGTTTAGCATGAAACTGTTTGTCAGACAGGTAATACCGAATAACAGAAACAAGCATGACAGCACGTCTGTTGAGTTGCTTAGGACAGAGTTCAATGTTCAGACCTACAGTCTTTAGGAAAATTGGAGAAATCTGTAAGTCAAGGAGAGATAGACAAGGTCTTTGAGTATTCTGTTTTACACTAGAAGTACAAATCTCATAGTGTTACCTGCCTTTAATCCACTTGTGCTAGGTGCAGTTCAGAGTGATGTGGTTTGCTGAGCACTTCAGTATTTTATAGCGAGCCTGTCTCAGGAAAAGGAGTGAAATTGCTACTGAAACAGTCACACAGTATACATTAGGTATATGCTGCAGAGAAGTTTCTGCAGAAGGCAACATGGAGCAGGAGAGTGAAGATACCCTTTGAGGTGAAGCTTTTTTGCTTTGTTAAATATATTTCTAGATCAGGGTAGCTCCACTGACTTGAACCTCATGCAAACATTGCAAATAGCATATGATCATTATGCTAGCCTGAAATAATCATCATGAGGTACTGCAGATTAATTATCTTACTTTTTAAATTTTTTTTCCGGGACGTGGTGGGAAGAACAATGTCCAAAACTTTGTCTTTTGGGACAAATCAAGTCCACAGGAAAGGCTCACACCAAGCTGAGACCAACCTGAGCACAGTGTTTGTTTTATTTTTGTCTTTTTTAGTTTTCTGTTTCTTAATGTGGCTAATATAAAATCAGGGCACAAAAATCATGAGGACCTACAATGAATCTCTGCAGATCTATAATCAGCCTTTTGTGTGCTTTTCTGTATCTTTCCAGAACTACAGTTCCAATAGCTTTGCAGGAAGTCTCTGATTAGACAGTTTTGTTAATTGCAAAATGTTGGATCCTGCAAGTACCTCAAATGGAGGATAAGACCAAGTTTCTAATTTTTTCCCCATGCTTTTTTCCCCCTCTTAGCATAACAGTTATATTGCAAGAGCATTTTAAAATGCAGTAGTCCATGATTAGCTGGTTTAGACTGTATTTCCCAATGAACTCAGTATTACCGTTTCTGTGACACCTGCGTTTCTTACACCTAAGAGTATTTTCAACGATTTCCAACTTCTGAGATAAATATGCAATATTGGATGATTTTCCTCTTTTCGTGTTAAGACAAGATAAGAAAAATATCTTTAAGGATGCAGAGGTGTCTTTGCTTATGGTCAATACGACCTGCACCTGGTGAACAAAGCTGAATAAATCTGCATCCTGCAGATTTATTAATTGGTGACCTGGTGTGTTTTCTAGGCTACCTTCACTGCTTTAAATGTGTCTCTCTCTTTCATGCCTCAGTCGCCAGTGTTAAAACATGATTAATAATTCAGAACAGGAGTTGTTTCTTTGTCTCTCATAAATACATAATAAGGTATCTATTTTATAGAATGCTATGCAAGCTTTTCTCATGTAATAAAAACAAATTGTTTGACAGGAGCTTATTTGCTTTCATTTAAGGGATGCTGCTTGCTGGTTTCCTAATCCGAAATACCCCGTTCATTAGTGACATCGTCCAGATAAACCTACGCTGGTCTGCAGCACTGAGGAATATTGCTCTTTCAATTATCTTGACTCGAGCAGGACTCGGCCTGGATCCAAAGGTATGGCACCAGCCCTTTGTGTGAGGCAAAGTATACAGTAGCCCTCAAAAATCCCTGAATATTTGGTTAAGTTAAAAATATTGAACTGTTCAGTTTTAGAAGAGATCTGCAAATTAGATCATTACAGAAAGCATACTTTCTATTACATAGTCATACATATAGTAATACTGGCGGTTACATTTGTAGCATAGGCAAGCAATCCAAAAAAATACCTGAAGAAAACTTCCTTGCCTTAAAACAGTTTCCTGAATTTTGTGAGCAGAACCTCTTGAGGGCATATGCTCTATCGTGGTCTATCAGGAAGAGTTTACACTCCCTGACAAGCTCCCTGTCAGTTTACACTGGTGAGCTAAAATCAGTAAGGGAAGGGATCCTTATTCCTTGAAAGAGAATGTTGCTTGTGTTAACACAAAATAATACCAAAAAATACCCCCCAAAAACCCAACCCACACCACTAAAAATCCAAACCTGTGTGTCTTTTTTACTTTTTTCTTTTTCTTTTTCTTTTTTTTTTGGAGTAATTGCCATTTTAATGCAAATATTTTAATTGCAAAGATGAGTCCTGCTGCACAATGCCTCACATCAGAGTGAACAAAAAGATAGTCTTGCTCTCCCCACTACGCATAAATTAAATGAAAGCAACGTTTTGCTTGAGCAGTATGGCTGGCTGAAATAAAGCTGTACCATTGTGGCCCCTGTCTATTTCAGTTTTAAGGGACTGCTTTATATAAAACTTAGGTCAAGTATGGCTAGTTCAGCAGAACAACTAAACTGATTTTTCTTAACCACAAAAAGCTAGGGAGTTGCCAATGCTTCAGATATTTAGGAACACAGGGTTTTGTCATTCTTGAAAAATGCCTGGTTTCCTAGATTATGATCGTCTTAATTTCCAAACCATTGAAGCTTGTATGAGCATGAACTATGTGTTGGAGGCGCAGTTCTGTGAGACTGCCTTTCTTTCTATTCAGTGACAACTTTTTTTTGCCAAAGGAACTTCATCTTTGATACATGTGGCAATCAGAACTCTTGTGTGTAGCAATGCTTTGATGCAGGGATCTGTCCTAGCAGAGTCATGTTTGTGACCAGCTATTAAGGGAAGCTTTTACAAGTAAATACTCTGGTTTAGAGAAATTTTTGAATAGAAGTTGTTGAGCCAAATGGAGCTTATTATGCTCTGGATATCAAGTGAGAGACAGCTGAAAGAGATGCTTGGCTCCTTGTGCCAAGTTTTTGTAGTTCTACAACTTTCCATTATTCGTGCATGATTTTTGGGACAACTTTTTGGGGATGTCTGTGCAACTTCTTGTGTTTTAGCAAAATCTTTTTATAGGTGGAGCAAATGTCCTCAAGTCATCTGGGCTGAGGGTGTGCTTTCCAAATGGATCCCAGCTAGTCCAGCCTCTCATATTTAATTTGCTCTGCACAAAAAGCCAAACAGGGTTTTTTGCCACTCATTCCTGTGACATGCAGGAACCTTGTCGAACCTAGATACAGTGGGTTTTACTCCCACACTTGGTATGTTATATCCAAGTCCAGTTGTGCTTGAGCCTATCTCTGGCTTAAAGCCATGTAAAGCTGTCGCATCCTGTACTGCAGCTCAGAGGGGATTCTTTGAATAAACCGTATCAGATCATAAATATATTTCCTCTCTGTAAAGCCAAGGGTACTGAAACTAATGTCTCAACGTGCTTGTATGTTGCAGGCTCTTAAGAAGCTCAAAGGAGTCTGTTTACGTCTTTCTTTTGGACCTTGCGCCTCTGAAACATGCACAGCTGCTGTTCTTGCCTACTTGTTCATGCATTTGCCTTGGCAATGGGGATTCATATTAGGGTAATGTACTCTCTTCTCTTCTGTATGACAAAGGTGCATGTTTTCATGCTACAGTTAGATCTACATGCAGTTATTTCTCTGCACCAAGCAGAGACCTCAGCTTAATGTGAGTTAGGAAGCGCAGCTGAGCCCCTGTGGTTGTTTGCTTACCATTCATGTCTGACTCTGTGGCCAAGTTAAAGGTCACATCTCCAGGCTGTGGAGGAATACTTGCATCATTACTCTTCTGTTTTTGTCATCTGAGCACTTTAAGGAATAAGAATGGTGCAATCCCTGAGTCTTTATCCAGAACGCAGGGAGCTTTTAGGGAGAGAAAATGATGCCACAATTTAGAGAATCTTCATGAATTCAAAATATCCTCGTAGGGATGTGCACTTATGAGAGTCTTCTGTCACAAGTCAAGCATAAGGATAGGGCATGTTATATTCTGGAGTAACATCCTTGAAGAAGATAAGTTTTTCATCTAGTCCTATCTAAACTGGCAAACTTGGTCCGGACCCATATACTGGGGTAAGATGGATGAACTTCTCTTTTGCCAGATTTTTGTGAGAAGGAACTGGGCTACTGTGTCATAATCATGTCTAGACCAGGTTCATAAAAGGGACAATCAAAGCATGTATCAGGAAGCTTAACGGGCATGCAGTGTAGACTGTGGAGCCACTTACTTTAAATACTATTGAGTTGGGCAGGAAGTAAGAAAGTAAGGAAGTAAGAGCTGATTGCAAATCTTTATAAAAATATCTCTGCTTGTAATAACAGGGGAAAGGTAAGGAAAATACCTTATGTAAAGGTCTGTATATTTATATTATAAAAGAATTGGGGTCAGAGTTTTTTGAAGTTTTTTAGTTCAGTGCTTTCTTTTTAAGAGGGGCTGAACTTGTGTGTTTTCAGTTTTGTTCTAGGTGCAGTCTCCCCTGCCGTGGTGGTTCCCTCAATGCTGATTTTACAAGCTGGGGGATACGGAGTGGAGAAAGGTGTCCCAACTTTGCTAATGGCCGCTGGCAGTATCGATGACATTCTGGCTATCACAGGCTTCAACACTTGTCTTGGGATGGCTTTCTCTTCTGGTATGCTGGTTAATCTGTACATGGTGAAATCCAGAATAAACAGTGATATTTCAGAGAATGTATGCTCTCACTGAATGGTTTGTAACTTAATGACAGCTCCTTATAAAGTTCATGTATGGACTTGAATATTGAGAGGGAAATTGCCCACGATCAAAAGTCTTGCTGTAATGTTGTCTGCTCTGAGTTGTGGGTCACAACAACTTTCAGAGAACATTTTTTACCTGTCTGCTCCCTTAGCTGCCAAGTCTGGTCCCTGCATGCCCAACGTAATGCTTTCAAATTTCCCTGGGTTTGGCAGTGTTCTCACAGTGGCTCTTTCTCTTGCTTCTCTGGCATACTTTCTTGGCATGAGCTTTCAGAGAAAGTTGCACTATCCAGTTCCTTCAGGCCCACAGATTCCCTCATAAAGTCCTTTGCCCCCAAGTAATTTAATGCAGACACTGTCCTGGAATCACAGTTGTAGGTCTACAGTGTGGTTTTTTGCATGAAGGGTCTGTGTGTGGCTCACTGAACATGGGGGGTTTTTTTCCAAATAGGTTCTACTCTGTACAATGTGCTCCGTGGAGTGCTGGAGGTTGCTGTTGGCATAGCAGCGGGGGGGATTCTGGGAATGTTTGTTCGATATTTTCCAAGCCATGATCAGGTAAAAACTCAGTGAAAAAAACCTTTTTATAAAATAGAGATTCTTTGCTAAGGGATGATGTTCTTCAGTTACTCCTTTCCAAGCTTCATGTGAAGCTGCTTTTTGGGAAAGCTGTGTACAGCGCTAACAGCTTCCCGGTTGCTATGGCTGTCAAGTGAGGATGTGTTTTGGAGGTGATTACTTGTTTACTGCAAATATGACAATGTATGATCTCAAAGGCCTTTCTGATGCAGAGTCTGGAACCCAGCTCACCATCCTGCTCTCATTGAAGGTGGTGGAAAAGTCCACATGTAAAGGAGAAAGGGTCTGATATCTATTTCAGACAGTCAAATAATCATCAAGTAGATTGATGTGTGACACATCTAGTTCTATAAGATGTTTCCAGTAGGCCTAATATTAAAAATGAGTAAAGCAGACACACTGGAGGCTTTAAGTGATTGGGCACATCATTAGTGCTCACTAGAATATGTTACTTTCAATAAAAATTACATAAAGTGATAGATTAATTTACTATGAAGGAGCAATTAAGTGAACAGAAAATTAAGGAAGAAAGTAGGTATGCTCTGGACTATCGAATTCAGTTTGCAAAGCATTTATTGCCCTCTGTGGGACAAAATTTTCTTGTTATTAAAAAACATAAGAAGTGTGATACAGGAGCTAAATGGATAAATAGAAATGGGGAACAATGGCAGAGATATAAGTGTCTGCTGTGAGACTGGATCAAATAAAACTAAACTGTCCTTGGCAAATGTTTGTTCTTAGAAACATCTAGTGGCCAGAATTTCACCTCTCCTTGAATAAACTGTTCTAGTACGTGACTGCACAGGTAGAGAATCTTGTTATCACAAGGTTGAAGCAGAGCTATTAGAACAGAGCATCATGTTCCTTGTGATACAAAAAGCCTATAGGCAATAAGATTTTTGGATGGGCAAAGGAAAGAGAGTATTATATTTCCAAAATTTAAACTTCTTAGAAATTAAATTTAAAAAAAAAAACTCACCTCAACTCAACTGACCAGTTCAAGTCTCACTTGAAAGCTTTGATTGTTTCACAATGGTTAATAGCAACTTTTCTAATTTGTATTTTAAAAGTTAAGTAACCTTCTTCCTCCATTTCTAAAAGAAATTTACTTTTTGTCTCTTTCCTTGGCTGCAGGCATCTTTGGCATGGAAGAGATCATATTTTGTACATGGACTGTCCATGTTTGCTGTTTTCGGGAGCATCTACTTTGGCTTCCCTGGATCAGGAGGGCTCTGCACGTTAGTCTTGGCTTTTGTTGCAGGTGTGGGATGGTCTGATGAAAAGGTGAATGTTTACATAAAGAAGCATACCATACCAAAACTCCTTTGAATGTACAGCCTGACAGGAGTTTGAATTTCTGTCAGGAGTGGTAATGGTGCATTTGTAAATCTTTAGGGAGTGTATGGATGAAAAAAAACCAAAACAATTCTATGTTTATTTTCAAGGTCCTTAATATTTAGCATGATAGAAAGTGAAAATGTATGCAAATATATATAGATACAGAGTCTCTCTATGGTAAGATTTACAAAAGGTGTCCAAAATAGGGTTGTGCATATAGCCTGAATACCACGAGGTTTTGTTCCCTGAGGTTTTGGTGGGGGGTGAAATGGAAAAGAGTAATTCACCATCCTCTCTCTTCTTTTCCAAATCCCAGCCAATGTATTATGGAGAAATTAGAGAGCAGGGTGCTTACAAAAAATGGTGATATAAAACCACACAAAAGACTGCTTTTTAGTCACTTTCTCTTAGCTACTAAGCCTGCTTCCTCTTACTATTTCTGGCCTGCTGCATTTCTGTACCTTGACACGTGTTGCTGCCTCTTTTGCTTGATACTATCTATGCTTATTTTTTTAAGGGCATCTTTCTCTTCACAGCTTTAGCCTTGCGGCATTCAATAGGAGAAGGAGAGAAGAAGAGAAAGGACATCAGATATAGTAGAATTCACATTATTATCCCCATCTAGATCCTGACTTCATTAAGATCTCAAGGTTCGTTAATACAACAAAAAAGAAACCATGGCTTCTATTTAAAGTATTACATTTTTGTCCAATTTTAGAAGAAAAACTCATCTTGGGATTTAAATACTTAAGGACATTACAACTGATAAAGCTTTTTATTGAATGGCTTTTAAAACATTTCAGAAGGAAGGACCTTAAAAGAGTTTATGCAGTCTGTAAATGCTAGTTTAAGTTCTTTTGATCAGTGAATTAAGCTTCTTGGCCTTAAGGATGTTGATTTCAAATACTTTGGCTCTTTTTTATCAGATACGGTCAGAGATGTCTGCATACTGTATACTCAACATATTGCTCAGGTTTTCTTGTGGTCCCTGGTGGAAGTCACTTGGCAAATACTGTCCACAGAATAAGGAACATTGTACCTATTGCTGGAGCAGTTGAATGAGCAGTGAACAGACTGCAATAATGCTAATATCTGTAAGGAGAATTATTTTTCTGCCAAGAAAGAAGAGGGTGAGATAAAAAGGAGAAATAAGGTAAATTCAGAAAACTGTTAAGAAGTCTGTACGTTTCCACCTCGTTCTATAGTTACAGAGGGTTTTGTACTACAGTCATCTACCATTCCATGGACTGAAGAGCAAGAGATACCGCACGATCAGTTTCAGACAGAACACCAAGTACAGAATGTGTCTAGGCTCTGGATTGATTATTAAGTGATAGAGCACTGCATTTACATTTTCCACACACTCCAGCTTGAACATTCATTAGCTACTGTAGAACCCACTTAATTAAAAAGCAGTGCTACTAGATATTGTTCTATGTGTACCTTTTCACATAAGTGGAAGATTCCTGTTTACTCTGACAGCACCAGTTTTAGAAAAATTGTTAGGTGTAACATTCAAACACAAGGAGAAAGGATGGCTTTTCCCTTATACAGTACATTGCACTAGAAAGTTCAACGCTTTTTACTAGTATGGGATTTCTGATTTGCTCAGTCTAACTTTGTTCGCGCTCACACGGAGGAGCAAGAGCAGAGTTAGGTCGTGACTGAAACTTCTGAGGGTCTGACTGCTCAGACACAAACAGAACATGTTTAAGCATGCAGTTCCCAAAGGCTCAGAAACTTTATTGGCAAGGCTGTTAAAATTACATCTTCCTAAATACTGAAAATCAACTATGCTTTATTTTCCTTCTCCTTGTCTGCAAACTGTTCTGTTACTGTTCAAATGTCAGTGATTTTGCTCTTCTTGAGATAGCAAGCATTTATTTACTAGCAGAGCTAGGTATGCTCCGACCTTCAAAAGGTGCACGACTGATAATCCATCCAGGTAATCCATCAGGGGCCCAACTCAAA